GAAAGAGGGCAGGGATCCAGGAGTCTGGGTGGCGGTGGGGGTCTGCAGGGATCTGACCCCCAGCTGGACTCACCTTGCTGCGTTTGGTCTGTTTTAGGGGTCAGAGCACTGGGAAGGGGCCTCCCCAGTGCCCGGTAAGTACCTGGCGGGCTGGGGGGCGGCCTCCCCACAGGGCTCTGGCTGCGTGGTGCCCTTTGATCCCCGACCTCTGCTCACTTGGGGGACAGAGGCAGGGCCAGGCCCCGTGTCAGGGCTTCTCGGCTCACAGACCTGCCTGGCGCGGTCCCCCCGTGGGGGTGACCCGCTGCCACAGCCCTGGGTGGGACAGCTCGGGGCTGACGGCGTCTCCCTGGCGGCAGGTGTTTGAAGGTGTCTACAACAACTCCCGCATGCTGCACTTCCTGACGGCTGTCGTGGTGAGTGGAGCCCTGGGCTGTGTCAGGGGCTGTGGGCCAGGAAGGAGGGGGTGGCAGAGGGGTCCCACTAATCCTGGCTCCACATCCAGGGTTCCACCTGCGACGTGAAGGTGAAGAACGGCAGCACCTTTGAGGGCATTTTCAAGACGCTCAGCTCCAAGGTAGGTGCTGGGCTGGGGCTGGCTGGGGCTGGAGCGGGGGCTGGGGCCGGCCGTGACGGGTCTCCCCTCCTGGCAGTTCGAGCTGGCTGTAGACGCTGTGCACCGCAAGACTTCGGAGCAGACGGCTGGGCCGCGGCGTGAGGACATCGTGGACACCATGGTATTCAAGCCGGCTGACGTCATGCTGGTTCGCTTCCGCAACATTGACTTCAACTATGCCACAAAAGGTAGTGGTCTGCCCTGATCCCCTTACCTTGCCTGGCTCGGTCTGGATTGGTTTGTCCTGATCCTGCATCTTTCCCCACCCTTTCCCTCAGACAAGTTCACAGATTCAGCCATTGCCATGAACTCCAAGGTGAACGGGGAGCACAAGGAGAAGGTGTTGCAGCGCTGGGAGGGCGGCGACAGCCACAGTGATGACTACGACCTCGAGTCCGATCTGGTGAGGCTGCGGCTTGTGGGGGGCAGGGCCAGGGGCACCGGGGCCAGGTCTCACGTGCTGTTTTTGCCATCACAGTCCAACGGCTGGGACCCTAACGAGATGTTCAAGTTCAACGAGGAGAACTATGGTGTGAAGACTACTTATGACAGCAGCTTAGCATCCTACACGTGAGCCTGTAGCTGGGGGCTGGACCAGCGCGTGGTGTGGGGGTACCAAGTTGCTATCTGTCATCTTAGCTGGGAAGCAGGGACCAGGATTTGGCTCCTTTTTTCCTTTTGCTCTGGTTCCTGTGATAATCAGCCTCATAGGCGGGAGGGGAAACTCCCCGGAGGCACAGGACCTTGATCTGAGGTTTGGGGCAGATGGGAGTCCGGGGGGGGGGAGGTCCTCCTGCAGCCACTCCTTCCCATGAGGCACTTGCCTGCAGCAGCCGGCTCCTGTCCAGGGACCTGGCCTGGGCCTTGGTGCCAGCTGGGAGGCGTGGGGTCTGAGTGTGGCTGTTCCTGGTGCAGCGTGCCCCTGGAGAAGGACAACTCGGAGGAGTTCCGGCAGCGTGAGGCACGGGCGGCGCAGCTGGCACGGGAGATTGAGTCAAGTCCACAGTACCGGCTGCGCATTGCCATGGAGAACGATGATGGGCGGAGCGAGGAGGAGAAGCACAGCTCCGTACAGCGCCAGGCCTCTGGCCGCGACAGCCCCAGCCTGGCCACCAGGTGCGCCAGGCCCTGGGGGGGTGGAGGCCACTCTCCCCCTGCCCTGGCACCCGACTGACCTGTGTCTGTCCTGTAGGGATGGCAAATACAACCCGTTGCCACAGCGTGTGCGCGAGGGCTCCCGTGGAGGTGTGCGCTGCAGCAGCTCCCGTGGCGGGCGGCCGGGTGTGGGTGCCCTGCCTCCCCGTGGCGGTGCCCACCACCCAGATGGTGGTGCCAGTCCTCTGCCTGATCCGCGTGGCATCAACGGAGGTGAGGCAGGGGCTAGGGGCGCAGGCAGCAGCTGCCCAGTATGCAGCGGGTTCTAATCTCCACCGTCCCCCAGGTCCCTCACGGATGTCGCCCAAGTCACAGCGTCCCATCCGCGGCGCCAAGGCCATGTCGTCTCCTGGCAGCCGCCCTGTGGAGGTCTCGGCAGCTCCCCCGGCAGGTAGGAGGGGGGTCAGGGTCAGGGATCTCTGTCTTGGTGGTGGGCTTAGCCATTCAGCACTGCTTCTGTCTCCTTGCAGTGGGCCGCATGTATCCCCCACGCTCCCCCAAGGCAGCACCAGCTCCAGAGTCTGCGGCTGCCCCCGCGTCCCCCTCTGAGTCCAGGACAGCTGCTCTGGAGCCCAGCACTGCTGCCGCCCCTAGCCCACCATCACCCAAGGCGGGTGCCCCCATGCTGCCTGCTGCCCCTGAGGGTGAGGCATCTGTGGTCTGGGTGGGGGATTGGGGCCAGGGCAGGGGCCATGGGCTCACAGCTGTTTCTCTGCTGTGCAGCGAAAGAGGCACCAGTGCCAAAGGACCCTGGCCGAGCCTCCGAGGTGGCAGGGCCCCTGGAGCCGGCAAAGCCAGCAAGCAAAGGTTTGCAGCTGCCTGGGAGGCGGGGAGTGGGCAGGGGTGCCACTGGGTTGTGGTCTCACCCGCTGCCCCCCACCATCCCACCAGTAGGGCTTCAGACAGAGCAGCAGCGAAGCCAGCTGGAGGAGCTGCGCAAGTTTGGGGCTCAGTTCAAGGTGAGGTGAAGTGCAGGGAGGGGAGGTGGTGTTGGGATGTACGTCCACACGGGCGTCAGGCTGATCTGTCTGTCCCCCACAGCTCCAGCCCAGCAGCTCCCCTGAGGCTGGCCTGGAGCCCTTCACTGCCCGGCCTAAGGAGCCAACACCTGAGGGCAAAGGCAAGGAGAAGGTGGCTGAGCCCTGCGAGGGGCCGGAGGAGACCCCGAAGCCTGGTGGGGCTCCGGAGCTGGCGCCGGAGGGTGGCAAGGAGGAGAAGGGGCTGCCGGAGGGGCCTGAGCGCCCGGAGCCTGCCAGCCCCCCCAGCAAGGCTGAGGCTGAGGACAAGGAGGACGGGCCTGTGTCGGAGTGAGTGTCCCCTCAGGGCTGTGTCGGGTAGGGAGGCTGTTCCCCCTGGGCCGTGCCCCCACTTTAACCCTTGTGTTCCCCCCATAGGCAGGTGAAGAAGTCAACGCTGAACCCCAATGCAAAGGAGTTCAATCCCTCCAAGACGCTGCTGTCCGTGGTGAGCGGGTGCCAGGGCCATGGGGGTGGGGGGCTGAAGCTGGGCCTGGTGCTGACCGTGCTGCCCCCACAGAACAAGTCTACGAGCACGCCCACGTCGCCAGGGCCCCGCACCCACTCGACGCCATCCATCCCGGTGCTGGCGGCCGGGCAGAGTGGCATGTACAGCCCCCAGTACATCTCCTACATCCCGCAGATCCACATGAGCCCTGCCGTACAGGTAATGGGCGCTGCGCCATGCGACACTGCAGGCTCCCCTCTCCCTTGTACCCCACCCTGCCGTAACGCTCTTGCTCCCCCAGGCCCCGCAGATGTACCCCTACCCTGTTTCCAACTCCGTGCCTGGGCAGCAGGGCAAGTACCGGGGCGCCAAAGGTGAGTAGAGGGGCCGGAGACCAAGATCTTGGACCTGGGGGAGGGCTCCTGGCTGGACCCATCTCACCTTGCTACGCCCCCCAGGCTCGCTGCCCCCCCAGCGCTCGGACCAACACCAGGCAGCCTCCGCGCCCCCCATCATGCAGGCGGCGGCGGCCGCGGGGCCCCGCCTCGTGGCAGCCACCCCCTACTCTTCCTACATCTCCTACAATCCACAGCAATTTGCCGGGCAGCCTACCATGATGCAGCCCATGGCCCACTACCCCTCGCAGGTGGGCCAGGCGTGGCCCCTGGGGTGCAGGGCACTGGCCTGTAACCCGGGGGACCAGGGGGCTGCGTGTGCACAGGGGAGTTGGGCTGGAAAGGGTGGGTGTGCCTGTGGCAGTCAGGCTGGGGGCAGCATGCCTGGGGGTGATGGATTGGGAGGGGCTGTATGCGCCTGGGGGGTGCTGTGTTAGGCTACGAGGGGTGTTGGGCTGGGTGTGCCTGAGAGGGGCTGCATCTCCTGTGGGGGGCTGTGTGTGCTGGAGGGAGTTGGGCTGGGAAGGGCGAGTGTGTGTGGGGGTGTTGGGCTGGGTGTTCCTGGTGGCTGTGTGATGGGGGCTGCGGTGGAGCAGTACATGCCTGGGACCAGGCTTTGCTGACCCCTGTGTGGTGCCGTGCTGGCGGCAGCCTGTGTTCGCGCCCATGCTGCAGAGCAACCCGCGCATGATGACGTCAGGCAGCCACGCCCAGGCCATTGTCTCATCCTCTGCCCCCCAGTACCCACCAGCTGAGCAGCCTGCACCCCAGCCGCTCTATGGTGAGAAGGCCTTGCCGGAGCATGAGGGTATGGGGGGAGAGGTGTGGCCCAGCCAGGCCTGGCTCAGCCCCTCACCCCTCTGCCCTACAGCCACCGTCCACCAGTCCTACCCCCACCACGCCACCCAGCTGCACCCCCATCAGCCGCAGCCTGCCACCACACCTACCGGCAGCCAGACGCAGGCCCAGCATGCCGCTCCCAGCCCTGTGCAGGTACCAGGGGGCTGCCAAGGGTGAGGGTGCTGTGGGTCTGCCTCCTAGAGCGCAGCTCACACCAGTCCCTGTCCCCTAGCACCAGGCTGGGCAGGCGCCGCACCTGGGCAGCGCGCAGCAGCAGCCCAACCTGTACCACACGGCCGCGGCGCTGACAGCCACACCGCCCTCCATCACGCCGGGCCCCGGTGCCCAGTCCCCGCAGACCAGCTTCCCGCAGCCTGCTGCCGTCTATGCCATCCACGCTCACCAGCAGCTGCAGCACAGCTACCCCAACATGGCCCACGTCACCCAGGTACTGCCTGCCCACGTTGCGCTGCGCCTTCCCCCCACCCTGTACCCACTGCGCACTCACGCTCCCCTCCTCTCTGCAGGCCCACGTGCAGACGGGGCTGCCGGCTGCGCCCCCCCCACACCCCGGCGCGCCGCATCCGCCCCAGGTGATGCTGCTGCACCCGCCCCAGACCCATGGTGGGCCCCCGCAGGGGGGCGTGCCCCAGAGTGGCGTGCCCACCCTCTCAGCCTCCACCCCAGCCCCCTACACCTATATTGGTCACCATCAAGGTGAGTGGGGCTCTGCACGAGGGTGCCTAGGGGGCTTTCTGGCCTCCCTCTGATACCCACCACTAATACCCGCTTCTCTTCCCACAGTTCAGTCCCACCCGTCCCAGCAGCTGCCATTCCACCCCCCTGGGAACTGACGCCTCCGGTCCTGGCTGTGAACTGAGATGCGTCCAGTGCAGCCTGGCCCAGCCCGGCCCATCGCGCTGGGGGAGCAGGGGGCACCACCAAGCACCTTTGGGGGGGGAGGGGGGAGTGGCATTTTTAGAGGTGGGGCTGGCGGGTGTCAGTCACTGCCCCCCTGCGGCTGCCCCAATGCCTGCCTTTTATTTCCTATAATTTATAAGGGGGGTCA